TATATATATATATACATATATATATACATATACATATATACATATACATATATACATATATATATACATATACATATATACATATATACATATATATACATATATACATATATATATACATATATACATATACACATATACATATATACATATACACATATACATATATACATATATATATATACATATATACATATATATATATATATACATATATATACACACACATATATACACATATACATACATATACATATAACATATATATATGTATACATATATACATACATATACATACATACATACACATACATACACATACATACATACACATACATACATACATTCATACACATACATACATACATACATACATACACATACATACATACATACACATACATAAACATACATACACGTACATACACATATACATACACACATACATACACATACATACATACACATACATATACACACATACATACATACATATACATACATATACACACATACACATATATATACATACATATATACCCTCAACAGATGAAGTGAAAATATAGACACAAGTAAAAAACAAGTGACTCACAGATTATTGTCATCTCAAACTGTGCAGCAAATGCCGGTGCTGTGTTTACTCTCATGTAAAAGATGGTGCCAAGGTGCGGTTGAGCACCCATTTCAAACAAAGTTTAAACACAAGCATAAAAGTGTGTGCAAGCTCCCATTTCATCTGTAGCCACAGAAAACAGAAGAGAAGACTGCCTTCAGGAGACACCAATAGCTGTTACCTGAACTGGAGCTTCGGTAAATTTTTATGTATGCTGTTTTTACATTTGCTCAATATTAGAGACAAACTTCTTAGATTTGAACCAGCTTCTATAAAACGGGGCTGTAAAGAGCTGATGGATGGACACAGAGTAGGCAACAGTAAATTTACTTACCGAGTGTCGACTTTATGGAGACTCTGTACGTTGTAGCATGTAGAAGAGGCTGCCACTGAACACACATGCTGGTCGGACGCACCTGGTAGGTTGACAAGCCGGAGACACCAAGGAACACTGCAGACAGGTTCAATAAAAACATCTACCTTTTAATTTTTTACAGGACAAATCATCTTCACAAGGCTGATAACTTACAACTGCACTCTTTGACATTGTTAAATAATAAACTTGTTCTTCATGTTATTGTCACGTTGGAGACATCCACGTGGTTCTCTGGCTACTTTGCTGAAGCCTCTGACCACGTGTACATCCAAATGAAATGTAAATGTGATACATCGTAATTTTTATATTTAAAACAACGTTATAAATTTGCTTATTTATATTACACTGGTGCTTAATGTTAAATGCTTCTGAATAATACATTTGACATTAGGATGATCCTTTAAATAATATGCAAAGACACAAAAACTAATCATTATCCAACTGGGCAAGAGATGGTCAGGGACAGACATTCATGAATATGCATACGTGTGCAGTGTATGATAATGCAAACAGATATAAATAAAACATGTGTAAGACTACTGGTTAAACACTGGCAAAACAGTATGGAAAGTGTCTTCACAGTAATATTGTCACTAATGACAACTGTGTTTCTGAATTTAGCTTCCTTGTGTACAGTTCAGTGCAAAAAGATCTACACCTTTAGAACTATACTATTTTATTTTGTTATACTTGCTTCTTAGTTTGGTTGTCATCAAATTCATTCAAATTTTTCTTACGTGCTATGCTCTTCATTTCTTTTCTAATTTACAAGATTGTATCAGTTTATGCAATTCATTGCTTTTACTGAGCTTTGTTTTCCTATTTAGTAGAAACTCATTACCATGACACTCTATAAGCTTCAGCACCACAATCCAAGATGACTATCTGGAAGAAGTGGGTTCAATCAACAATCCCTCAGGTAATCAATAAATATTGTTGGGTTTTCAAGTTCCACGTTACTATGTGTAATTAATTGGTGCAAACATGCCTGTCGCTTTCTCAAAGATCCAAGGCTGCAGTGAATGCACAGCACTCAGGGGAAATATGTTTCAACATCAGCATTAGACTGACATATAGGTGGATGCATCACCAGTAATAAATCACGTCCTCAAACGCAGAGTAAATATGGATGGAGAAGCTTCGCTACTGTAACATGAACAAATTCAGTTCATCTGGAAATGTATCAGGGCACTCGAACGTGATGGCATTCAGTAAAGAATCAGACTAAATGAGGTCTAAAACAACATAATTAAATGTATTAAAAACACAAATTTCAAACAAATATGTTCTAAAACAAATACAATTCCATGCAGCATGTGAAGGCATATTTTAAATTAGGGGTTTTGGCTTCTCTGCATTTTTCAGCTTGATCACATTGTGATTATATTATTGTGCATATGTATATGTATGTATATGTATATGTATATGTATATGTATATGTATATGCATATGTATATGTATATGTATATGTATATGTATATGTATTGTGAGATCATGCATGACCTGTGCAAAACACTAACTGAATCAGAGAAGAACATCTGCACTGGTGTTTTCATCCAGTGATATTTATTACCTTTGTTCAAACGGAGTATTTTAACACTTTGATGCTATTTTTAACGACATGTTGCATTTTGGATAAAGTTACAGAGATAGTGGATGGATGACATTTGAATGCTGTGTATTTGTAGCCATTCACTAAGGTATCAGGTCTGAGTGATGGAGTAAGAAGGGTGCAACTTGCTCCTCACTCCACACTTAATTTGCACTTGTTAAACAAGAGCACCAAGTCAGTTTACTGACCAGTAAGAGCTTCATTCATGTGTTCACCCTTTAGTAATCAGAACTCAGTCACTGAAGTAGAAACTGTTAATTACAGGGAATTATAGACCATAACAAATTAATATTCATCCAAATGAAGAGACCGAATTTGTCTTTAAAGTTTTATTACAAAAATAAAAAATAAAAACATGAGCAACAATAACCAACAAAGAATAAGAATTTGCATAATAACTACTTTGAAGAAGCAGTAGTCGAATGAATACTTAGACTTAATTAAGCAATAAGGATTAATCAAGGAGTAATTCTCTTTAATCTAAAAGAAAATAATTATTGGGACAGAATTTAATTTGTTTTATACACGCAACTATTCAGATAAAGTACATACTGTCCTTTTAAAGTTGAAAAATGGATACACTTGTTTAAGTACTTTTTTTCTGCAGTTAAAAGACATTTTATATTTTTACGAAAAAAGTTGAATTTTTCTAAAACAAGTTATCCATTGTGTTCTTTATTGTTTGTAACAGAAGTGCTTACATGTTTTTCCATTTATTAGCATCGGCTCGCTCTGTCCTGCAGTGTAGGCAGCAGTCACCTGGACATTATACTCTGTCCCACTCAGCAGATTGAGGAGGACAATGGAGTTCTCATCTTCACCGACTGATGTCTCCAAAACTGGACCTTGAACTAGAAAAGCAAATGTAGAAAAATAAGCACTAAAAGAAAACAACAAAAAAAAAAAAGAAAAAAGTAGTGTTGCTTTAAAAATAAAATATACAATTTTGGGAAAGAAAATATTAACACCAAGTACCCCAACAAAGTTCAGTCAGGTCATCTGGACGGTTTCTTTTTTTTTTTGTTTAGAAAATTCGTCCTTCATCCAAAGGACTTCATCAATCCAAGGAGCCACAATCAAACTCAGTCCCACAAGCAGCACACTGATAGTGGACCAACCTGTTTGCTGGTGATAAGATGGTTTCTGGGGCCTGCCCTCTCCCCTGTCGACTCCTCTGAGGCAGCCATAGTCAAAGTGGTTCAAAACATCAAAGTTCAAGCTCAATAATCCAGATTAAAAAAAAATTCCAACAAAGTTCAGTCAGGTCCTCTGGATAGTTTCTTTTTTGGCGAGATGTTTCTTCTTTCATCCAAAGTATTTCATAAATCCGAGAAGACACAGAGGGCGGGCCACAAAAAATATCTTATCACTAGCAAACTTCTTGGTCCACTATGTGAGTGTGCTGCTTGTGGAAATGAGTTTGTTTGTAGTTGCTCAGTCTGATGAAGTCCTTTGGATGAAGGACAAAACGTATCAACAACAACAAACACAAGAAATCGTCCAGATGAGCTGACTGAACTTTGATGGAGTTTTTACCTGGATAATTGAGCATGAACTTTGATAAAACACCAAGTACCATATCATAATGAACTGTGAGAACCTCCCTGAAATATTAACTGTATTAATATTAAGTGTGAGCAGTAAAATGTGTCCTTACCTACAAGCATGGTTGAGGTCTTCCTTTTTAACTACAGTGCTAACAACAGTGCAGCACTGCAACTACTAAAACTTGGAAATCAAAAATCTAACTATAAAAATGTTTTTCCACATTTCCACATTTGTTGGACGTGCAACTTAACAGGTATTTATCTTTCTTTTTAATTTGACACCAATAAAAAGCACAAAAATACATAAGTTGTGACAAAACTGTCCCTGCTATGAACAGAGATACACACTTGCATCGGATCTTCTCCTGAAACAAAACAAAGATGTAAAAAATAATTTGTGCCTATGCAGTTTTTTTTTTCAATCAATTGATAAACTTGGATTTACAACATAATATTACTGCATATAACTGGGATACAATACAAAGGAACCATATGCAAAATTGTAAATTATTTTTACAACACACCCCTTTGCAAAAAAGTGTTCAATAAGGTGCATAATCCATTATCTGTGTTTATGCCACAGTGTTCCAGTTTAAAGAAAATCCATGCGTTTGCTAACAAACAGTAATATAAGTTTATATTTACAATAAGTATATTGTGAATGAACATCTGTATAAAAAATGTGCACAGGTATTTGTAGTTATGGATTATCAGAACTGAAGAAGTAGAATGGTAGAATTAATTTCCCTTCAAAAAATTCTTAAAATGAACTTAATCCAGTCATTTACTTGAAATTGGATTATGTGATGCACAATAATTTGGTAATAAAATAAAATAAAAAAACAGACTTGTAAATGATAAATGTCAGTGCTCTGTCTTGGTGAAACTATTAGCAGCAGAGATGCAGCAGAACAATGAAAATGGGTATTTAATGATGTGTTTAAGATGGGAAAATACATGAGGAAGTGCAATGTCTTATTTCAGTGCTAAACTGCAACAACTTTCTTAATTCATTAAAGAGAATTTATGAACTGTAGTGTCTCTGTCACTGGTTTGTTTCTGGCAGATCCTTCTGTAATAAGCTAATTAGGGTTTGGAAAAGTTGGAGTCTTAGGGCAAAGCAGGACATCATTTTGTGTTTGCAAGTGATGGACATACAGAAATATAAAAACTGATATTTGTTTCTCATTAAGAATAATGACAAATTTAATTTACCCCTAAAATATTAAACAAATGTCCCTATTAATATTGCTGTTGGGCTTTGTGTGTATGTATTTGTGTTTGTATACCATTAATAGGCTGGTAAACGATACTGTAACCCAGAGTAGGAGCCTGAGGTGGATCCCAGGAGACCCTGAATTGGCTGTACGACTCCTCTGATACGCGAAGATTTTCTGGCGACAAGAGGGACACTGCCAAAACAAAGACAAAGAGAAAAATCAGAAAATACAAGAAACTAAGCTGAACTTAATTTAAAATGCTATAAAATGTATAGGTCTAGTGTGTCTTGAAGAAATGCGTATCGCCATATGATGATGACTATGATAACCTTGTGATGCGAAGGGGTGGAGCTGTAGCCATTTTAGTCAAACCTTGTAAATGGCAATATGTAAAATGTCATAAAATGTTACTGGCTATCTTTTTGCTCTTGTGTTGACGAAAAATCCGATACCACTGCACCAAACTTTAACTCAATTATAGATAAATTTGACCAAGTTATCATTTCAGTATTGGCTATGGCTGATTAGCTAAGATGGCTATGTTAAATTAATTTGACTCAAAAATGTAGTCAGTTGCAGATATATATTTAATTAATGTGAGTTACAATTAAATCTGTCCAGTGGCTCATGGGATATTTTGCCAACAGAGATGGTGCCAACAGTTAATGCCAATGGTTGAAGCAAAGATATTATACAATGCTTAGAGAAAATCTTGTGAATTAGTCTCAGATACTAGCACGCCAAATTTCAGCCCATTCTCTGCAAAACTGGGCTAGTACATTAGTTCTCAGGATTTCACCTGTCGCCTTTCATGCCCAACTGACTGAGATCATCTGGGCAATGACTGAACTGGAGACCGTTTGTTCATTTCTTGAAAATAACCTTATTCTAGATGCCACACTCAGATTCAGCTACTACCACCCAGAACTTTAGCTCAGTGTTCATTAAATTTACAGATATTGTAGCCATTTTTGGTGTGTTGAAGGTCAGGTTAGTTGGTGGACTCAAGATGTTAATCAGTGTAGATGTTCATCCAATTATTAGAGTTTCATTCAGATTTGCCCCAAATATCCGACCCGCGCCGTGATAGTGAAAAAGGTGCATATGTGTCTTGCTCAGGGACACCACAACATGTGGTCATGACGGGGAGTCGAACCATGACTTTCTGGTCCCAAGTCGGCTGCCCTACCTCTACACCATCTCGAACTTTAAAGATGGTCTTAACTCCAAAAGTTAATTGTTCATAAATGTTCACCTGATAATATGTTTCAGTTTTACCAGTCCATACAGTGGTCCGTTAAAGATGTTGCTAATACTGAGTCTAAAGCCCCCCCCCCACACACACCCACCCCCCCACACACACCATACACACACGAGCATTACTGCTCCTTGTTTTTGGAAGCAAATGATAAAGATCAGCATGTTCTCTGATCGTAGAATGATTCAGGGATCAAATGGAATTTAAATCAAGAATGATGAGTGATGATTTGAAGGTCTGTTTTTCCTGAAACCTTTAATAAGGAATTTCTGGTTGGGATACATTTTATTTTCATGGGGAGTCTTTGGGTATGGAGGTGTGGGACAGAGCCGGCAACCCTCCAATTGACCATTACTTGATCATCTCCTTGAACCACAGCCACCCCCAAGATTTTCTGTTTATAATTTTTTATTGCTGCAATTCTGTCTGCAAAGTAGTGATTGCTTCTGGTTGTCTGGTGTAAAAAATTATCTTTAAAACAAATCAGTAGAGTTGGCCTTGATGGATAATCAAAGAGTTATACCTTCTTCAGTTCTTGAATCAGTAAGATTATTATTATTAACATTTAATTAAGTCTGTTTTCACACTGTGCTCTTAAGCACAACATTAACAGGGTTTCATTTGCATGATGGTTATCTAAGGTACTCTCATCAGAAGACAAAACATTTAATCTGACATTTCATTTCACTGCACAATGAGCAGTCTTATGAGACGGGAGGACAGATAAGAAAATCAACCAGAGCAAAATAATTTAATAATTTCATTAATAAAAGACCAGCTGTGACAACGAGTGGACCTCATTAAGACAATTTGAAACATCAGTATTTGTCATCACATTAATTCATTTTCTCCATCGTGAACATTAACATGAAATTTATGTAAAACAACTGTATATTCATTCTGTTCAGTGCAACAATAAAATCCACTCTTATGTCACCAGTTTTTTTCTGAACAAGAAACTTTTTATAGAATAAAAACAAACATAAAAATGACTACTGGATAATTCAGAGGAGCTTTCGTAGAGACTTACATGTGGAGCCCAAAGCAGAAGCACTGATGCCTTCCTGTCCATCACTGTACACAGGTGTGACCGTCACTTTGTACTGGGTGTCGGGTTGTAAATGTTCAAGCAACGCTCGTTTCTGAACACCACCAACTGATACCTACACACACACACACACACACACACACACACACACACACACACACACACACACACACACACACACACACACCCACACACACACACACACACACACACACACACACACACACACACACACACACACAGCT